CCACGCCAAGGACACCGCCAAACGGGGCGACCTTATCGTCACCTTTGACATCAAGTTTCCCGATTCACTCAATGAGCCCACGAGACAAATATTGTGGGACTGCCTGCCGTAGGGCACCGGTAGTCTGATGGCTACAACTCATGCAATACAACACACGTTATGCTATGGATTACTATTATGTTTATAATGTCTACAGAGGTTTAATAATGATTCATATTGATTAATGTCCTAGTTAATAATGGTTAATAATTATTAAGTCTATGAGACTAATGATAATAATAATAAACTTATTGTTATTTTTTTGTTGAAACAAATTCTGTGACAAAAACATTTGAAAATGTTTTTTATGACATACTATGCATAGGAATCTCAAATTAAATATTTTTATTTATGAGCATGATGACATTAAGGCAAAAAAATTTTACATTTCACACTCATTTACTATTTATTAAAACTACTTATGGGATTTAAAATGTATAATTTACTTTATATTATGATAATCCCCGGGGTTTGTTGGTTTAATGAACACTACAATATCTATTTTTTGATTACATAGTAAATTAGTAATCCTAGTTATAATAATAATAATAATTTAAATTTTAAATCACCACGAATATGCAATAAATATTTCTTAAAAATGTTAAACACATTTGAGCTTGTTCGTACTTGATGTACTTGGCTATCTTAATGGAATTGTTAAATAAAGTTAATTAAAAGTTATTTAAATTAATTTTGTAATTCTTGCTTATTTTTAAAACATAGTACATAATGTTAATAATTTTGTAAAGTTACATCCGTATTTGACCTTTCATAAATTATAGGTACGGTAATTATCATTACATTAAACATAATGTTCTTTGAGAGGATACTTGACTTATGAAGTACCCGGATTATCACACGTAAAGTTTATATTGTAGTATTCCTAGAATAATGTGTACATTCAGTTTATTTAAAGGATATTTTACAAGAATATTGTAGTGTATATAAATATTAATGTGTTTTTGTATAAAGTGTTCATCCGGATATAATTCCACTAGTTTGCATTGCTTATTAGTATTGCTAACATACCCTGAACATTTCCATGTAATTAGTAAATAATTCTTTGAATACCAAATCAAGATAAATCTCAGTATTTATGAAAGCATGCGTATCAGATAATATAAGTCTGCTTGTTACAAATAAAAATAATAGTGCATAAGTCATAATCTAGCGCATCTAGCACAAAATTATGGTATATAAATGCTAGGTTTATTGTGTTTAATTAAAAAATTTTACTAAAGTACCAACAATGTGGATCATTTTAAACGTACTTGTTTTATTTATTGCTGCTGTTAACTCAGCACACTTAAATGGTATTTTTATATTTATTATAAAACATAAATTATTTTTATTAATGTAAATATTACATTCATACAAATTATAGATACCAATGCACCACCATATAACGTAGTGTGCTATTATGGCGTGTGGGCATGGTACAGGGATAACCATGGTGGTCGTGGCAAGGTTAGTGTTCAAGAGTCAATAAAATTTAAAATTATTTGAACCCTGTTACATTTTCAAAAACACAAGTTTTGGCCGGAATTGTCAAACCCAATGCTCTGCACGCATATGATGTATGGTTTTGCAAAACTCGGTGATGACAGCCTGGAAATGGAGGTCATGGACAAGGATCTGGATTTGGGTGATACAGAATATAGTAGTGGAGAGCCATGGGGTTTAGGTAAATGACCAGTTACAAATATATATATTTAATTATAATAACAAATTTATGCAATTTTCTAATAACGTGGTGGACAGGTATGTTCCGTCGAGTGAAACACTTGCGTGATGTCAACCCTAATATGAAAGCCATTATATCTATCGGGGGTTGGAATGAGGGGTCAGACAAGTACTCAAAGATGGCCAGTAGTCCGGACTCACGGAAAAAGTTTGTCGACTCAGCCCTAAAATTTTTGCAAACATATAATTTCGATGGACTCGATGTGGACTGGTATGCAATACATTGTAACAAACATAGCACACCTACTGTACAGTATTACATATCCATTTCCCATCCGTGATTTCATAGGGAGTACCCGGGCTTTAAGGCCATCAAAGATGCCGACAGAACCCCCGGTAATCCTAAAGATAAGGAGAACTTCATCGCACTGTTACGTGAGCTCCGGGATGCCCTCAAACCACACAACTATTTACTGTCAGCGGCTGTAAGTGCGGGCAAAAAGACGATTGACGTCTCGTATGACGTGAAACAGTTGAATGAGTTGTTGGACTTCATTAACGTAATGGCCTATGATTTTCATGGAGGTGCCTGGGATAATAAGACAGGTCAGTTTGTATTACTATTTAGTAAAACCGAAATCAGGTATTCATATAATTATTTGTATTCATAGGACATAACGCTCCCCTATATCCCGATCCTAAAGCCTCTGAGGAGGACAAGCAGTTGACGGTATCGTATGGTATGGAGTATTGGATTAAATTAGGGGCCAGTCCTAAAAAATTGGTAAGTGCTATTTATTTGATATTATCGTTTAATTACAATATAATAACCATTTTCAACCTCATATACTGTAAAATAAAATATTGTGATAAATCTTTAAATAAAAAATTACAGTTTTTGTCTTATTATGTATAAAAAAATTATTCATTAGTATGAGACTATTGTCCATTTAATAATCACTATTGCATTACTTTATATACAGTCATTCCCAATATAGATTGGAACGGTTTTTCTAAGAAAACCACATGAAGACAATTTTTGATTTCATTCATATTTATATAAGAAATCCGGA